TATAGTACGTATAATAGTATTACGTTTATTATAAAGTACTATAAGGTATTATATATAAATTTAGTAAGATCTAGCTTAGTTGTCTAGTTGTCTTATATAAAGCTATAGTAAGTTTAAAGGTAATACTTAATAGCTTAGTTCTACTATTCTGTCTACCTGTCTGTTTATAAGTAATAGATAGTACTAAGTCGCTATAATGTCGTTAAGTACTAGTAAAAACTACTCTAGAATTTACTTATAAAAAAAGAGCCTTAGTCTAAGATAATACTATCTAGAATTCTAAATTATTATATAACGTAGTATATTAAGAGAGATACTAGTCTATTACTAGTAAGATAATTAGTTATTAGAATATATAAGGAAAATTTTGTAAATTAGTCTATAATAATAAGTATTAAATTATATAGTTTGTCTACTACGTTATAAGAGTAAAGTAGTTACGTAATAAAATTAAGTAAGATCTCTTACTAAGGTTTAGAAGAAATAAAGAGTAAGGCTAACTTACTATATAGTAGATAAGTCCTTACCTTTATTCTTTAATAGATAGCGTAAGTAAAAACGTAATAGTAGATGTCTTTATTAAGACTTAGCTAAAAGAAGGATTAAAAAAGCCTTTTTTTTGTTTTACTAACTCTTTAGTACCTTATAGTAAGTACGTTATAAAAAAGCTTTAGTAACTCTTTACGTAAGCCCGGATTATTAAGTATATATATACGTCTATAATACTATAGTAGTGTATTATCCTTAAACGTCTATAAGGACTTAATAGTACCTTAGTTACCTTACTACTTTTTTTACTCTTTATTAGTAATAAAGGCGTCTTTTTACTATACGTTATAAAGGGCTTCTAATAGTAATAGTAGTAACGTTAACGTTACTATTACCTAGCTATTACTCTTACTAGCCTAACTTTAAGTAGAGTTCTTTACTAGTATAAGAGTGTTTAATTTACGACTTAATACTCTAGTAATAAAAGCATAAGGTCTTTAAGACCTATAATCGCCTTAGTCTACTAGCTAGTATAAGTCTAGCCTTTTACGCTAGAGTAATTCCGCTAAGATAGTATACGTTAAAGAGGTCGCTAGACCTTTAAAAGAAATAAAAAGAATTAAAGAAACAAAAGAAATTAGAAGAATAAAAGAAATAAAAGCTTTATTTTAAACAAGCCTTATAGTAAGACTAACGGCTTTTAAAGTAACTATATTTACTTAGAATTTGTTAAGAAAAGTTACTAAAAGAGCTTGTTACGCCTCTAATTACTTATTAGGATCTTATAAGTTAGGCTACTATAATAACCTATTAGTAAGGTTTTAGCTACTCTTTTTATATTTAATCTTAAAGTTAAAGACAGAAAGTTCTTCTAGCTATCTAGCTTACTACTATAATAACTTTAGCTTTATAAAAAGGTAATAGTAGTTTAGGTAATCTATTAAAACTAATACTAAACTTTATATATATACTAAGTACGGCCTTTATAACTTAAAAGCCTTAATAATAGCTATTAACTTAGTGTTAAGGGTATTATAGTATAGCTCTAGCCTCTTTAGCTTTTTAGAAATAAACGTAATAAGGTACTAGCGGCCTTCTTATAGCTATAAAAAGATAGTACTAATAGTATAGATAGATATATCTATTTTTACGTATATAAGTAGTTTAAGGTTATAGTAACGTAAGAAAAAGGCCTTTATAAAGACTAGTCGTAGCTTGTAGAAGGCCTTTAGGGCTTTAGAACTTAGTGTAATAGTACTAGTAGTGTTGCCTTAAAAGAGATTTGTTAGTAGTATAGTAATCTTTAAATAATTCTTAATAAAGTACTTATAGAACCTAGTAAAACCTAAGAATATATAAATGTCTTTTATAGTTATAAGAATAAGCTATTCTTAGATTATAGAGATATACTTAGGTTTAATACAAACTCCTTATAGGTTAATAACGTATCTTAAGAACCTTACTTACTTTATATTAAACTTGTACTTTAAGAGATTAGTATAGAGGTTATATTATTAAAGGTATTTAAAGATATAGTAAACATACTATATATACTCTTCTTTATTTATAGAGTAGATAAGGATATTATTAAGATATATAATATAAATATTATTAATAAGATTTCTTAGTACTTTATTAATAAAGGACTAAAAGGTCGCTAGTACGTTTACTAGCCTAAAGGGCATAACGTAGTATTTAAAGTAGCTATATTAGTACTAGAAAGCCGTTTTTTACTTATTACTAGCCTTAATACAAACTTAATAGTACGCTTTACGTAGGTTAAGCTTAGTATAGACGCGGGCTTATAACAGTTAGTTAAGGATCTCTTTAATTAATAGAATAAGGGCTTAGTTCTTTTTAGTTATACTATTTAACGCCTAGTAGTTAATATAAAGTCGTAGCTTCTCTTCTTTCTTTAGAACAAATAGTATTAAAGTACTAGTAAGGCTCTTACTTAGACAGATCTATTCTTTTACTAGGGTATTATCTAAATATTTATGTAAGATACCTAGCTTAACCTTTATAAGTAAGTAGATTTAGCTATATAGTAGTACCGCGTCTCTTTTAAGGTCTATTACATAAGTAAGGCTATTAATTATAAGTAGTAATCTAGCCCTTTCCTTAGAGAAGACGTCTATAAATTATTAGTACTTACTAAGTAAAGTCGTTATAGCCTTACTATCTTCTTATAGTTCTTTTTATAGTTCCTCTTTACTTAAGGATTCTAGGTCGACTATAATTAGCTATACTATTACTATAATTACAAATTAAGCTTTTTTTATTACTTTTTTAATTTCTTTCTTTATTATATATAGCTAGACTATTAAAGATAATATAAGGTATATAAACGTCTAGGTCTTTTATAAAACAATTAGGTCTATAGCCTTTAGCTATAAAAATCTAAGTATAATATCTAAGTCTCTAATATTAGTAACGACAAATCTACCTTAATGTCGCCTTACTATTAAGTAGTTATCTTAGGCCTTAACAAATAGATTATATAAACTAAAGCTTGTTATTGTTTTCTAGAATAGTAAAGACACTATAATATAATTATTAAGTTACTATAGTACCTCTTGTCCTAATAGTCGTAAGTAGATAAGGTTAACTTCTACTCTTAAGTCTAGTAAGGCTAGTATAGCTACTTAGCTACCCCTAATATATATCTCTACTTAAATACTTATTAAAGGTCGCTCTTCTTTTTATTGTTTAGGCGTAACGTAATAAGCTACTAGTATAGTATTAGTGCCTAAAGTACTAGCCTTATTAAGGTACTAAGCGTAAGTATACCTAGATTAACTATATATAGAGTATTTGTATAGTAGGTACAAATTTGCCTAATAACTAGGCTACTAGTATTAGTAGTAGTTACCTTATACCTTACTTACTAAAGGGGTTTTTATAACGTTAGAAAAGTCTTTTTATATATTTAAAGTTTAGCTACTAGATACTTTTTACGTGTTTACTAGTATAAATAAGGTCTTTAGATTATAAGAAGAGCCTCTCTTAGTATAGTATAGTATTAAAAGAGCTCTATAAGAGCCTTTTTATTACTTTGTCTAAATAAGAGTTTCTTTTCTTAACACTACTACCTTAACTACCTTAAAGGTATCTAAGACCTTACTACTTACTATATAGGCCCTTAACTTAGGCTTTAAATAATTAATAAGAAAGTAGATATAGAATATCTCTAAGAAGGTATAGCTAAGTTTAATAACTAGAGAGTTATACTATTAAAGGAAATTCCTAAAGGTCTTATTTTAGTTTTAAGTTAATATTTAGAGTTTTAATATTACTTTAAGAGAGTAGGTACCCTTATTTATAATACTATAAAAGAGCTACGCCTTTATTTCTCCTTAAGTTATATTAAGAACTAATCTACCTTTTTCTAAGAAAATAAAAGACTTTTAGTACTCTTTAATATAATCCTTTAGTACTACTACTATAGTACTAACGCGTTTAGTATCTGTTAGATAACTCTTTAGATAGGTATTAAACTCTGTTTTCTAGTTAAATAAGAAGGTCGTAATACTAGTATATATCTTGTTTTTTAGTAAAATAAAAGAGGTATTATAATAGCTCTTTCTTATTTCTTTAATATAAGTTTACTAAAAGGGCTGTTCTACTTTAAGAGGGTTATCGAATTCGTATAGGTTTATTAAGAGAGCCTCTCTTCTTTTAAGCGCTATAAAGTAGTCTTATTTTTACTTAAGGTACTACTTTACCCTTACTTAAGTAATCCTTTTGTTTAACTTAGTCTTACTTAAAGAAAGGATTTCTATTAACATTTAGGACGTCGTACTAGGTTTACTACTATCTACCTATAAAGAGGTATTCTAAAGAGTTACTTAAGAAGAGGCCTACGTCTTATTAAGGTTTATTTGTTATATCTACGTTATTACTTCTTACTCTAATAGTCTATAACCTTTTAGTAAAGAAGAGAGATTAGAATATTAGGTATATTTTTATAGAGTAAAAGAGGTAAGAGTTAATAGATAGTCGTAGTATATTTAAAGGTATATTACTACTTTAACTATAGACTAATCTCTAAACCCCTTTTCTTTTCCTTTCTTACCTTTTATTCTTATACTCCTTAATGCCTACTATTACCTTAGTCGTAGTACGTAGTTACCTTATACTTAATTTCTAAGCTATTGTAATTTTACGTGTTAGTATACCTAACATTAAGATAACTATACTAATCTTTATACTAATCTTTATACTAATCTTTATACTAATCTTTATACTAATCTTTATACTAATCTTTATACTAATCTTTATACTAATCTTTATACTAATCTTTATACTAATCTTTATACTAATCTTTATACTAATTAATAATTATAACCTTAGGTATTACGTAAGTATAAAGGTACTTTAGTACCTTAGGATATACTATACTTATAGGTTAGGTCTACCCTATAGGTTAGGTCGTAGATTTATTTAGGGACCTATAGGTTAGGTCCTATTTACTATAACCTACCCTATAGGGTAGGTACCTAACCTATTTAGTAGGGACCTATGGGTTTCTGCGCAGCCTACATCTGTTCGAATCACATACTCTTTGTTGTATCTACCATACCATACCAATTCTCCGCCAGCCTTGACCACGAAAGTACCAGAATCTCATAAAAAAAAGAGACCTATGCCAGCCTCTTCCTGCTCCACTCAATCGCAACATCCGCCGTAGCACCATCAAAGAAATCATTCATCGCAACCAACAACTCGCCGCCATCCAGCCTCCCTGCATTTTCCACGATCCAAGGCAAGGTCTTCGAATCGCATATGGATTTCGTAGCCAGAAGACAACTATTATCTGCATTTGCGGAAAGGACACTGTAGGCCACGACGTCGGTGATATTTGTCGCCGTCGCCTGGCACTGCAGATTTGTGAAAGGTTTTCCCGCCTGCGATTCGGATGTTAGCTGGTTGAACTCAGCGATGATGCCATCACCGTTCAGAGTCGCGTTGCCAGCGTCCGTGTATGTACTGAGGGAATCGACGGGTCCGAATAAAACGAGCCTTTTACGTTGTTCGCGGAGCTGCTGGATGGTGAGGTTCCTCATATCGTCAAGTGAACCTTGGACGATGGAACCATTGGAAGCTTGCAGAGCAGAGTTCATGTAGTCGGCGAGGTCCTGATCGCTGGGATGCGCACAGTCACCTGGCACCCCGTCCCAGCGCAGTTGTACGACGACGATCTCATCTGGCTGGGCCATGAGAAAAGAAACTGTATCCTGGAGAAACTGTGCGTACGGCATGCCGGGAATGGCGGAGTGCGAGAAATATAGAACATCTGGAATGGGATGCTCAGCACGGATAGCCTTGTGCAGAAAAGCGGGGCGAAATTCGAAATATCGAGCTCCAATACTGAGGATGGCGGGGAATGGGTCCTTCTGTGTCAGAGAAAGAGCGCGGACGATGTTTGGCGCAATGTGCATGACTGCATCGTGTGACATCTCGGCAGAAATTTTGGCAAAGGCTGGGTTGAAGGTGATGAGAGCATCCACAATGGCGCTGCTAGAAAGAATTGCATCCGCATTTTGCATGCTATTCATGCCAATGTCATGGGCGGCAGGAAGGAAGAATTTGGAGAAGGGCTTGGAGGCCTGTGGTGACCCTTGAGGTGCAACCTCGCCCATCCAGCGGGAGTAGTTGGGCGTCACAGTCACATAACATTGGTCGCTGCTTGGAAGACCAGCCACGCCCGTTCCAGCGTCATAAAAGCCGTAGGACACAATAATGTCGTTCGTGATCACCGAAAGTTGGTTTTCCATACTCTTCATGCTTCCGGCCCCAAGGTGGCTCGTCAGAGTATTGATTTCAATACTTTCGTTCGCGATCTGGTTGCCATTTTGGGTAACCCTGAAAGAGAAAGTACCATTAAAGTTGAAATGGCCTTTTATCTTGTCCTTGTCGACTTCGAGATGATCGTTGGAAAACTGCCTGAGCTGATCTCGAATGATAGTGGTTCCGGGGACAGAAAACTCCACTTGACAACCAGGGACGGCTATATACGAGTAGCACTGAACTCCCTTGCTCGGCATAGTGTTTCTCAGGGGTATATTTTATTTGTTTTCTGCGCCTTTTTGGAAACGTCCTGGGTAGGTGAAGGAGGGGACAAAAGAGAGTGGAGGTGAAGTTTCACGATAAAGCGATAGGGGTTCTATAAAGCGATGTGGAGGTTGTTACAGATCTGGCTGGATCTGCAGCCCTAGGACTTTTATATGCATGGCGACGTCTGGTGGGTTCTCGTTTCGGCTCATCCACGCCACGATGTCGCATCGTGACATTCATTCAGCTCAAGTGATGAGAAGTGTACGCGATCATTCGCACACTGTTCACACCGCTCTCGGGCAATGTGATTGAATGATTCACGAGACAGATAAAAGAGCGAGAACTACTTAAATGGATGCCATAAGGTGAGAAAAAGGGCTGTTGACATTGTCAAATCGCCGTGTCTAGGTTTGCGGAGTAGCTTTAGGTTAATGAGGATCGACGTTGCGAGGAAGGTTGTGTGTGGCTGGTGCACTTCGAAGTCAGCCAAGCCACGTGTGTGCCTGATGGAGTCCTGAGGATTTAAATGACATGTCAGGTCCGTTCACTCGCTCATCTTATCTCTTCCTGATAAAAATTAGGAATGGAGGTAGGTTGTTTTAAACAAGATCCGGGGTTTAAAGCCGACTGACCTGGGGTAACAGGGTTTCCGAGGTGTGAATCCGGGCCCTTCGGGCCCTATAACAACCTAAGGTAAGTGTTGTATATCAGTAATCGACCCACAACAGATGGCGCTTCCGATTCATCATTATATTCATTTTTACTCGTTGTTATCCACGTTCCTAATGATTTAGATGTCATGCCAGCCTACATAAAAGATCCTTCCCATTTCCATCAAGCCTTCTCCCCTCTCTTCCTAATACCCACATAACACTCCCTCGGTTTCTTCGAGAAACCCTCATGCGATTCCAATTTCTTCTGATACAGCTCAAACTCATATCTTCTGAAGATAGTCCCGATCATAATCTGGAGTTCCATCACCGCGACATTCTGTCCCACGCAAGCGCGGGGTCCGTATGAGAAGGGGTTGAAAGCTTCTCGCTGCCTATGGTTCAACGAGAGCCAGCGATCGGGCTTGAACTCTTCAACATCGTCGCCCCAGATCTCTGCCAGGTGGTGGACGGTGTATGAGGGGACGGAGAGGACGGTGCCGAAGGGAAAGTGGTAGTCGTCGAAATCGATACCCTCTTCAGCGGTCACGATACGGGGGAGTCCAAGAGCGGAGGTCGAGTGCAGACGCATGCCCTCGTCAATACAGCGTTTCAGGAACGGCAGGTGCTTCACCATGGAATAAGTGGCAACGTCGGTGCCGGCAGGGATTGCGGCATCGAGTTCTTCTTGAAGTCGGGGAATGACGGATCCTGGGTTCGCACGCTCGCCGTGCAGGGTCCAGTAGAAGATTGCGCAGGCCGTGTTAGAGATGGTGTCAGACCCAGCGATGAGTTGTGTGAGCGCTTCGGCAGTCACTTCTTGTCTGCCCATGATGTTCCCCTCGGCGTCCTCGCCTTGCATCAGTCTAGCCAAAAGGTCGTTTCGGTCATTCCCCGCACCAGCAAGTCCCTTTTCAGCAGCATCCAACCGCTTGGCGACGGCAGCGACAGCAATGCCGTTGAGGTTTTGCACGGCTTCGATTCCCAGGGAGAAGAATGGGTCAGGCAGATACTTTGCCCACGGTCTAAGAGCAGGAAGAAGTCCCAGCGTCGTAGAGATCTCTCCTCGTCGGTTCAGAACTTCAACAGCCGGCGCATAGAAGATTGGCCCTCCCGGGGTAAGCTGGACTTCGGTTTCGTCCTTGCCTTTGTTGACCATGCCGAACGGGGCGCCGAAAGCAAGATCACCAATGATGTCGAAGGCGATGTAACTGAACCAGGGCATGGCATTGAAAGTTGCATAACCATTGGTGGAGGGCTTTGACGAAATGCCATCAAGCTGACGAACCCAATTCCTAACATTGGAAGTCATATGGGGCTCGAATTCACCAACGGACTTGGGTGAGAAAGCATGGGCGATCATCTTGCGCTTCCGTGCATGGTCCACGCGATTCCGAGTGTTGAAGAGACCGGTCGTGCCTACGACGAAAGCCTCATAGAAGTGACTGGGAACTGTCAGTGGGTGCAAAATGACTGTTTATCAGAGACTCACTCCTTGAGGAAGCCGTTTCCGTGAGCGTACACAACCTTGAGAGCCCGCTCGTCTGCGATGGACACATGGTTGTATCCAACTCTAACAACCTTGCCATATTTCCGGTGAGCCCAGTCAACAGCAGCGAACTTTTGGCCACGACGTGCTGCAAACCCGAGCCATATATTGCTGAATTTCGCACTGAAGGGACCGGGAACCTTTGAAAGATACTTGTACGTGGTAAAGTAAGGGAGCAAATAATACAGAGCAGTGTAAATAACTGTGAGGAAGCCCAGCCAGGGCGCCAAGATGGTAAGGAGTGCCATAGGGACGACCAAAACAACGGATGGAGATCCCGGAGGGGGTATATAATTATATATAATTATATCTTGGTTGAAACTTCAACACAATGGGAGACAAGACAGAGAGAAGACAGGAGGACAACAGATTATTTATATTATTTCGCAACCAAGATAAGCACACACAGGGTCACTTGAGGGACTCGATTGCATATGCATCCGGAACCTTGAGTTGCAGATGATACACCATCCAATCCGCTGGACGTTGGCATTGCTCCGGCGGAGAAGCGACATCCCCGCCGGGCGAGGCGAGACGAGAGACGGGATCTGCCATCTTCGATTCCTGGCCGCTTCTTACTCGACAATCACAATGCGGAAGGCGGTCAGAAGTGGGGTAGACCGCCTCCTGGTACACGGTATCATAGCATGTCTTGACCCATTGGCCATTAGATATTAACAATCAGCCATCTCTGGCTCATGAGGAGACCGTGAGAAGGGTAAGCAGGGGTAAGGCTACGACTTGTCCTGCGATAACTCTCTCCAAATCACCGCAACTCCGTTGGATTCGGGAAAAAAGGAAATGCCATAACAATTCCTTGGGATAAACACGTTGCCTGTTCTGTTCTTGCGACCAGGCAGAGGGATGTTGCGCTGAGACGCTTCGAGTCATTAAATATCTTAGTTCCCAAGGAACATCTCTTCTAATGATGGGAAGTCTTGATATGTCACATCTCCTGTGCTCCATTCGCCAGCCTGAACGTCGTCAGGCAAGGCAATACTGGTCCCAGTCAAATCGCCCAGATTCGGTCTTGGAATAAAAGTCTCGCGTTGGGTGAGGTCATGTCCTGAAGCTCTCTTCATATCAAAGACGTATTTCCTCATCACACTCAATGCCCACTTCGACACCGGTTCCGCCTTCCCACCAAGTTGAACATGCTGAGAGGTTCTTTCCATTAAAGCAAGGGTGGCATCAATATCATCCAGGTAGGTGGCGAACTCACTTAATGTGACCATAGCGAAGGAACAGAGCAGGTTTTCGTACGCTGGTCTGACAAATGCTGTGAGATCAGACATGGCCAGGAAAAGGTGAAGAATACGATGAGCGTGTTCCACAGCAAGTTGGATGAATAGACTCGGGTCCAGGTCGGTGGCTGCGTTCTGGGTCTGTTCCTTTGACGGCTGTTCAGATAGATACTTCAGTGTCCGGCGTGTCAGAATCAAGTATGAGCAGGAATACGCGAAGCGGAGAGGTTTGGTTGAATCCAGTTCTACCGGAGTCAGATACGATCCCTGCTGAGCTTTCATGATATCTGAACATACCGAAAAACTCCCCACATCGTTTCCTCCAGTCGTCAATCTCATCCCAAACTAGGCTGTCGGTCTGAACCGATTCGGAGTTGACCACGTTACAGAGGGCATCGTAAAGGTCTACCCCAGATGCCACGAGCCGATCTCGCGAGGTGTATGAAGGCAGCTCTAAGATATTTTTGCACTGCTTAAGGTATTGCCTGGAGATTACAGGAGGTCTACCAGTACCCGCTGAAAATCTGGGGCGGATATCAGCATGAAGAACAAGTAACTGCAAGTCAAGGTATATAAAATAAACTTACTGTAGGTGGCAGAGACATATCAAATTCCACGATCGTAGCGTTTCTCTTGATTTTGGATCTACCATACCGCACATCCGTGGCTTTAGGAGCTGCTCAAAATTAATTGCGAGCATTCCCTGCATTCCAGCTACTCCACTCAGTAGCCATGTATCAAGATATTCCACATCCTTGTTTGGTACCAGATTCCACATCGAGAAAATAAGCATAGATTGTATGGCCTCCAGTGAAAGCGGAGAAACGAGCATCGACCTGCTCAGAAGGCCACTGACGTGCTGGTAAAGATCATGGTGGAGTTGCGACCCATGAAGACTAGAGTCAATTTGAAGACCAGAAAGAACGCAGCTCGCAAACAGTAGTGAAGATGTTTGCCGTAAGTCCGTCGGGTTATGCGATTTCATGAAATGCCACCGACGGGAGAGTTGGGTGAAACTAGTCCGCGTATCAGCAGCGATCGCAAACCATTACCTACCTCCGTAGGGGTTCAAGGGTAAGGAATCTTACCCGGCAAAAAGAGCATGAGCCAACTCCTCCGTGATAATTCCTTTGGTCACTATGTCGTCCGAGACATCACTTCTATGCTGCTCTCTCTCGTCGCCGAGAATGTAGTGGGTCATATCACGAATCAGGCTCATAGGCGCAATGCGTGAATTTCGGTCCGCGACAAGGGGCCCGTTGCTTTGGGAGTTTAAGGGAGCTGTTATAGGGGAATTTGGCACCTCCGTCCGCATCCTCGACCTGTGGAAAGCCGTTTGGGAGCTGGACGCTCGAGTTGACAATCGCAACAGTTCGTCGAGCGATGATCTCACATGAGCCAATGAATTCTCAACCGCAATTAACCTGAAGTAGTAATTGAGCTGGTTTCAATTCAAATACTTATGTATGGCTTACCTCTGACTATAATCTTGCCATGGCTGAGGAGTTGCCTGAAAGACTGCTTCTGGTTGAGGCAAGGGCTTATCAAGCTCGTCCGGTGGAGTGGCTGGAGTTTCAAATGCCTCTGCAGCAAGGGAGCAATCTAATCTGTCAAACTGTTAGTTTAAAGCACGCAAAAAAGCTTCACGGGGCTACACTTACTTCAGAAGTTCACATCTATGACAAGCAGTTGTATTATTCTGCGTCTCACACCTGGTTTTGAGCCGTCGGCAAGTCTCACATGACCGGATCTTGCGTTTTGGGATATGCCCATCATTCTCCTGACTTGCAAGCTTTCGCTTCATCATATCGTCGACTGTAGTGATCTGGCGTTGAAAGAAGAAGCGTCCGGATATCCTGAATGTTGATCTATCGCGCCTTATCAGGCCGTACCTGACGTCCCCAAGTAACTGATAAGGACCCCGTCTAGTAGCCGCTTCCCCTATAGGTACCTTTAGCGACTCCCCACTTGTGAAGGATTTCCTGCCTTACATGCCTGAGCCGGTGGGCTACCCCACGTTATTGCAAGGCTAGTTCTTGTAGCTGTTAGTCTATTTCTATATTTTGCATTACATGCCTGGTACTTCTGTGTCTTCGAATACAGTACTCCTAGCCCAGAATCGTTCTTATGAGTGTATATTATTAAACTCGGGACTTTTGTCCAGATCACCGCTATGGAGGTAGGATAGCAAATCCAGCCTCGAAAAAGGTACATTGTAAAACATATAAGTTAGTCATCTACTCTTCTCTGTCTCTTTTATTTGAGTCTATTTCATTTTCATTTTCATTTTCTCTAACCACGGTTCATGAATAGATACATACATCCACAGTCAGTCACTCGACGCACCCACACCTCTCTTGGGTGACTTGAAAACTTTTTTGTTCATCCCCTGTCTTTATCTACAATGATGCTCGATTCACTTTTCATCTAATGACGCGGACACATCAACCCCAATTCATAAGCACTTGCTTCTTCCCCTTATTCCCCTTCTTCTTCCCTTTGCCTCCATCGTCGGCACCGTTCTCGTCCGCGTGCTCGTCCCTGTTCTGCTCGGAGCTACTGCCGTTTGCAGCCCAGGGATTGCTCGTTGTTGGTTTTCCAGTGTCGCGGATAACGGCCCGGCCTGAGCCGTAGCCGAAGAGTGTCATTTGGGGTTTCTGCGCCGGGGGGAGGGACGGGAAGGCATCTGCTGAGATTCTGCCGGCCTTAGGTGCGTTGTTGCGACTGCTTCCTGGTGCCGTAGAAGTTGGGCGCGACGTTGGTGCAGAGCTTGGGTTTGAAGAGGAGGCGGAGGAGGAGGGCACCCAGGGGATGGTTGTAATTCTACTATTTTGGGGACGGGAGCTGGATGATGGGAGTTCCGGGAAGGCGAATCGGTTGGTGTCAGTTGAAACGCTGGAGGCGGTGCCCCAGGACTGTGTCTGGGAGACCGGGGAGCGTGATGATTGGGCCGTGGAGCTCTTCAGCTTAAGAACCCGGGTTGACTTCGGCCCTGTGGAGTTAGCATTTGTCGAAGAGGAGGAAGCGCCGCTGGTGCTAGCCCAGCCTAGTGGAAGGGATCCGGAGGCGACCGAGGGACCTGGCAGAGAAGGATAATCCTCGTTGATAGCACGCCAATCATTCCATGCCGTTCTCAAGCCGTCGGCCTTCTTCTTATCCTCATACAGATCCGCAACTTCTCTGATGAGAGTACCAAGGGCGTTGGATGATGTATCAGCGAAAAGCGCGAAGAAGGAATTGATGAGGGCGTTAGCGTTGATAGATGATGATTTGTACGCGGAGATCAGATTCCTGAATTTGTTCATGTTGGCTTGGTCATTTTGAAGGAGAATGCTGGCCCGTTCAATTACGCCGCGATGGCGAAGTTGACGGGCCTGCTCTTGCGGTGTCAAGTCTGCCAGATTGGGGCCTTGGTGGGAGGAAGTAGCCTCCCCAACGGCGGATGACGACGGACGAGGAACTGTAATAGAAGGAGGCGGTGGTGCATTTGCTGGAGCTCGTGCTGCAGGTGGTGTAGGTGCGGAGGTCAATTGGCCGCCAAAAGTACGTGTCGATACTGATTGCGCGCTGTGGATGGCTAGCTGGCGTTGGAAAGCTTGCTGATCACGTGGTAGGGGTTGAGCACTCGAGGTGGGTATTGGCTCCGAGTTGGGATCTCGCCCTCTGCCCCGCCCACGGCCTTCCCGCTGCTCTCTTTGACTTCCTCCTCTCCTCTCCTGTATGTATGGAGCTCGATAGTCAAAGGACGATATATCTACCACTCTTGCGTCTCTCCGTACGTCCTTCGACAGTGTATTTCCATGCTCCTCCAGCTGGTGTGCCTTTAGATCGATCTCCGAAGGGAAAACGATGAACTTCTTGTCCAAACAGGACTGCTCGGGGCAGAGGAAATGGTCCTTCCTAAAATGCAGCTCCAGACTATTATAGTCAACATAGTACTGGGGTTGGCCTCCTCTGCGGTCACAGATAAAGCAGCGCTCATGCCTCTCCCTACAATGAACGTATAGCTCATCGTCCCCGTAGAATCTCTGCCGACAGAATCCACACTCAGGATGGCCCTTGAAACCACTCTGATCGATGGCTCCAGGGTGATCGTCTCCTTTCCGCATATGCCGATTTAACTCCTGGTCCGTGAATAACTCGTGTTCGTGGGTAAAAACCTTCTTGTGCCGGGAGCACAGATCACAGATCTTCTTATGATGCACGGCCCTCACATGGCGATGCAAGTCCGGCCAGCCCAGACACGCAACATCACAGCTCTCATCGGGACAATTGTACCTCAAAAGCAGGACCGTATCTTCCATGATCTCATTGCTCTCATAACGGATCCCGTTATTTGTATCTGCAAACGTGATGTCGGCATCCGAGAAGTCCTCATATCGCTTCGTGGCATCATCCGTGAAGATCACAAATGCTGCTGGTGTCTTTCATCCCGTCAGTTTCTCTTAGCAAGCAAAAGGGCAACGGGGGACATACCCTACAATGCGCGCAATCCTTCGTCTTATACAAAGCCCTCATACGCAGAGCGCAGATATGACATGTGCGGTGATTGCACGGCGCCACCGAATTATGCACCACGGGGGACGCGCAGATGAAGCACACCTCGGCCTCGACATCCTCACCCTCCTCTCCCTCCTTGGCTTTCTCTCCCGCGACAGGAGGAGCAGCACTCTTCACCAGCGGCCGGGCTTGCGCTTCTCCCGCGGAGGCCGCATGTCCATCAACACCACGGTGCCCGCCCCGGCCACCACCACGCCGCCCTCCATGGGCCTCTTCTCCTCCTCCTCGTCCCCGGCCACGTCCTCGGCTCTGGCCGCGCCCTCTACCGCCTCCGCCTCCCCGTGTGCGTGCTGGTGCTGATGCTGGAGCTTCTCCTTCGGCCATGTTTCCTCCTCTAGCCCTTCTGTCTGGATCTCCGGACAGGAATGCTGATTGGTGTTCTGTCAGAGGATTGCACAAAGAGAAGGCTCGTCGTCTGTCTGTCGTGGTTCTGGCGATCTGTGGCTTGCTCGGTGAGCGATGAGGAAGGTTGATTGACAAGGCACGAGGTTCCATCTCGCTTTTCTTTTAGCGGGGTCGCTTAGCTGTAAGACCCCGCGGATCAGAGGTCAGCCTTGTCGGCGATGACAAATCCGGCGAGAGAAGGCTGAGGAATTGGTCCGTTGGAAATCCGTCGCCGTGACAGTTACAGTTCAGGTTACAGTTCCAGGTACAGTCACACAGGAGATATTGAAGCTTGTTTTATTGTTTGGAATTAGTGATGCCTGTCCGCCTAACTACGTACTGCTCAAGTCAAGTCACAAGGCTGTCCGAACCCTGCACCTGGAAACAAATCCTAGACCGGCATATAGCTGCATGTAGCCATAGCTACATGCAAGCTGTAAGTAATGTCTGATAACTAACAGCTTTCCACCCTCAAAGTCCAGTTCTCCTCCCAATTCCAAGCATGCTGCGAATTCGCCCGCTGGAAGGGCGAAATGCCATCCATTAATTCCCTAGCCATCCAGGATCTAAACGGAAACTCCCCATCCCTCTCTCTATTCATCGACATCATAGAGCTGCTTTCCAAGAATCTTGTTCATGGTAAACATATGAACCTTATCCTGCTTAAAGACCGCCTGCATCCTCTCGTCACACCGGATCTGTCGCTTGTCTTCTGGGACCTGCAAGTTTCGCTCTTTGATGTATTCCCAGATCTTCTTAACGACCTGTGGCCGCGAGAGCTGTATGTCGTTAGTCACTAGCCCCGAACTTATACCAGTAGCAAATAAATATGAGATGGGATGCAAGACGTACAGTAGATTCGCCGACCAAGTCTGCAAGCGGCGCACTCAAATGATACTGCTTGTGAAATCCCCCCTTTCTTTCTTTCTTTGGCTTCACCTCGCCATCACTATTCAGCTCCAGGTCGCTATCATCGTCTGCTTTGACTTTGTCTGCGCTTTTCTTTTTCGGGGTTCTTTTCTTTACAGGGGCTTTCTTTTTCGCGGCGCCTCCTCGGGTTGGTCTGGCCATACTATGCAATGTCAGAAATCGAGCCAATACGAGAAAAGGAAAGGGTTGAGGCCGCTTCAAGGCCGTTGATGATAGACCACATCGTATAGACACTGCGCGTGGCTGAAGGGAGATCGCGAAGGGGAACGAACCTATTCTCCTGCGCCTGCAGCATAGCCGCCAACTTCGCATCATCCAACTCCTTGGACCCCTTGTTCTGCTTCCGCTTCTTCTTCGGTGGAGAGACGGCGTCTGAATCTTCGTCGCTGGCCTCTCCTGGTGTTGAGCTTGCTGGCGTTTCCGACTTCACTTTCGATTCGGTCTTGATCTTTTTGTCTGAGCTTGCGCTTGAACTGCTATGCGCGCTGGTACCATTCGTCTGGGCTTTCGGTGAGGGCGCAACAGCAGCAGGAGCTGGTTCCGGTGGAGGAGCTGAGGAGGACGCGCGGTCGAAGCGCTCCATTATTAGGGCTTGAACAGCATCCTGTAGTTATCCCCATTTAGCACCCCTCTACATCCATGAAATCAAGAATCGATCCCATATTACTGTTCAAAACTCCCATCTCTAGACAAGGAGACAGAACAGTAGGACGCGCAGGGCGAGGAAAGGAAATAGTCGAACCTTCTTCTCAGAAATGTCAATCCCAAGTCTAGCTTGTAAACCCCGACGAATCTGTTTCGCGGAAATCGTATTCAGGTCGCCCTCCGCTAGGATGTCATCGATAATCGCTGAGTATTGCGCTCGTTCGGAGGGTAGAACTGTCATAGTGATGGTGGTTAGCTATCTGTGCGGAACAGCAATAGAGAGGTTGGAGGCAAGGCTAGAAAACGGATATAGTTTGAAGAGAGCCTGCCAGGAAGTATGTATGGAGCAGTAATAGAGGGAATACGAACGAGACATCTTGCTTATTCCTCCCAGCTGAGGCTACTGTCCCCAAGGTTTCGCAGACGTGTTGGAAGTCAAGAGGAATGGAGGTTGGAGACCCAAGTGGTGTTCTGTTTCAGCATAGATAACCCTCTGCTAGCAAATGGGAAACTGAACAAAGAGCGAGCTGCCTTTCCTCAGCAGTCGTGGTTCGCAGTACAGGCGCGAGTGGTGAATCCGCAGTGGTCCTGCTTCAACCGCCAGCCGCCAGCCGCCAACGCCCTTCCGCTAGAGTGCTCGTCCGGAACCGTCTTTGCTACCTACAGTCTGCAGGATTGTCGCGCAGCATGAAATAAGCTTCTATTACAAGCTTCGATTTGCAAGTAGAATGGCGGGGCCAGGGAGCGAAAGTGATGGGAAGCGCAATTGAGTTGTACAGTCGGAATGGTGGAGGTGTGGAGGTGAGTTGATAGCGTCAATCGGTCCAGACCGCATGGTGTGGCTGGTGTGCGCCAAATCGCGGAAAGCCACCGCCACAAGCTTGTCCCCGGGGAACTGCACTCCAAAGTAAGGTAACGAACACTGATGAGCTAGGGTGATGGAAGAGTATTGATCATATCCCAAATCAATTCCTTACGCAATGCTGAGCATTTGGTATACATAATTAACGCCCGTTTTTTTCCTTTTTTGCCTTGCCCTACAGACCAGCCGGTAAATAATACTCCCTGAACCTATCCGTCTCGTCCCACTGTACATCGTAAACCACATTCCAACATGTAATAAGTAGATTCGGAAACCTCCTGGTCCAAAAGTTGAGATACCCATCCGGCAGCGGTCCCACATCCTTTTTTAGTTTGTCACTCATATCCTCATAATGATTTCTCTTATTTCGCAGCGCCCGCAATAAGTCCAATAACCTCGTCCCGGTATATTTGCGCTGCTTGCCCATTGATTCGACGAATTCTTTGCCGAGCGGTTTGAGAAAATCGCCGCGGCATATCTCAGGAGCCCAGCGTTCGAGTTCTCTGAGGGCAGGTGATGGCGGATCGCGAACCTCCTTTTCGAAGTGGTCGGAGACGTCGCAGAGAAAATTGAGACGTTTCTTGGCGGACCAGAAGAAGGGGTGTGCCATGACCTGGCGTGCAGTTGGCCGCCGTCTAGGTTCTGGTGCTAACATTGAGCCAATGAGATCCTTGGCTTCGAAGGCGAAGTCACCGAGAACTTCAAGGTTTTTAAGGCTGTAGTTGCCTTTACGAATGTTGACTTCACGCATGTAGCGATCGCCGCAGTCGAACGGGTGAGAGCCTTTTGTTAGGACATAAAAGAAGACGAGACCTAGTGAAAAGATGTCGATGGCTCGGGTAGCTCGTCGGTTGGGCATCAGGTCAGAGCTGACCAGAGCTCCGGACGAGTCGCCATTGGTACTCGCGTCGACCATCGCTGGACCATCCCTCGCATCATCATCAAGAAGAAGCTCCGGAGCACGCCAACCAGATGTACCAGCTGCATGGGCAGTGGTTGCTCGGAATGACGATTGCTCACCCTCCAACTTCTTACATAATCCGAAATCAGACACAAGGAGACGAGGTTTGCCATCCTTGCCCATTGTAACCAAGATGTTCTGTGGTTTTAAATCACGATGCACAATACGGAGACTGTGCAGATGTTGAAGACCATTGGTGATCTGGTAGAGGACGTGAGGTAGATCTTTCTCGCCACTTTGTGCGAGTTCCCGATGCAAATAAGGCTTGTCGATGACATCGGCCAGGGAAGCCGGACACAACTCCAAAGCGATGTAGAGAAACCCGGCAGCCTGCTGCTGAGCAAAGTATCGAATAACTATACAGATGTTAGCAGAAGTGGAGATGAAAAGATTTCCTTAGTCTACCATTTGGATGATCGTCGCTCTCTCTGAGGAGCTTCGTCTCTTGCGAGGCAATGTCATAGAACTGCATGAGCATCCGTTTGACGGCGACATCGCGTCCATCGAAGTTGCCCTCAAAAACCATTGTCCCGTTACTACCGGTGCCAATGAGCTTGTCAGTGTTGACTATCAATGACCCAACACGTATGATAGGCCCTGAGACTTCGGAGGGATCATGTGATAGAGTACGTATATCAGGCTCTAACTTGGTCTGCTCGCCCATGTTTTGAGCATCTCGAACAGCATCCTCGACAGTTGCCGGGATTTTATGCTCTTGCGACGCATCCTGGGAAGTAGCGCGATCTCTGTTTTTCTTGTGCTTAACGCCACCTCGACGGCCTCGATGAGCCTTCCTCTTCTCCTTTCCAGGACTTGCAGTGGGATCTTCCGGAGAAGGAACTTCGAGAGAATTTACCCTCGTTAATTTATCCATCTCTCCGTTCCCATTCTCCGCAACTCCTTCGGCTTTAGGCGCTTTAACCTCCTCTACCCTCACTTCCGGTGTCAACGAAGTCCGACCAGAAGAAGGAACTCCGACAGTCTTGGATTCTGAGGCTTTTGGAGGTAGGGTTGCGTCAACCGTACCCGAATCTGTTGGTGGTTCAAGAAAGCGAATTCCATATTTGTGCCCCAATCGGCCAATCCACGTGCGAACTTGCCTCTGATTGGACACTAATACAGCAATCAATAAGATGATTAGCATTGGATTCTTGACGAATTCGAGGAGGCTGTTTGCAGCAACCCCAGGGAGAAGTTGGATACGTTGCAGAATAGAAGGTTCTGGCAACAGTGCAGGAACAGTATCGGTGGCAGCGTCGTTGCTTTGATTGTCGTTTGAGGAGGGCGCAGAGATTGTCAAGAGCCTCTCGTTCGACACATGGTCAATTGAGTGCAGCCCAACAAGAGCTTGTGATAATTGCAGGTCATTCAGGCTATCCCAGGAAGGACCACGTTGCCGCCACTCTTGCTGCTCACACGGTGCTTGTCTGATTCCTTGGACTGCCAAGGGATAGAATTTTCCTGACATAGCATACCAGCTCCCATCTTCTGTGTGGTTAAGAAAGATGCTGCGCGCTCGGTGAGCGGCTGAGGCTTCATCTTCGATTGGGTCGGGAGGCATGGGCTGGGGCAGTATAATGAGGTTCGGGTCATTATCCTCAGACCCCCAAGGTCTGGCTACGTCAAACACACGCACAACAGGCGAGGCGAATTTGTGTTTGAACAGCCTTCCTGGTTCGTTGGCGCTAGTACGATCAAGATCAAACCCAATGACCCCACCATCATGGCTAGTATAGATGTACTTATTGTCCAGCGTTGTGTGGTATTGGCGTTGAAGGTCATGATCGTAATTATTGGGCACCCATTCCGAAAATTTCAGGGTAGCAATTTGACGGCCGTCTTTTGCCCCGCTGATTCCAACGGTATATTCTGTCCGGCCAATGGTCAATGTAGAGCTGGTACTGCACTCTTCACTGTCCTTATCAAGAAAGCCATTCGTATTTAGACAGTTTTCATCGTTCACCAAGGCACCCGTCGATCCAAACCACTTGAGTACTCGTCCAGTCTGGGCATCAATGACTATCATGGTCGTCTTCTTTTCGCCAGTATACGTGACTGCTGGATCCTCATCCGAGTAAGGAGACATTTCCTCGACCAATTTCTTCATGGTAAGGCCGGTGTTGACCAGGCCGGGATTCGGTCCACCCGGTCGATACACGTAGAGGCTCCCCTCTCGACTCGGCTCGACAATCCACAGGTAATCATCGATCGTTATCGGGTCATAGTTCTCTTGGAGTTCGGATCGGTTTCGTCGATGGTAAGTTGTCTCGACCATGGGCTTGTCCACCTCCAAGGACCACTTCTCCTTACCACTCTTCCGATCCCGGGCATATAGTTTGCCGTCGACGGTCGCCAGAAGCACAAAGTCTTCTACTTCCCAATCCTCAAGACTCCGCGCAGATTGCGGCGAGGCTAGCCCAGCAGTTGCCCTGCTGGACCGTCTTGGGGGTGGTGCTGCAACGGCGGTGTCCGCCGGAGCCAAAGTTGCGATGGCGCTCGCATCGTTTTTGAAATATTTGTTGTAGGTGCTTTTTCGACGTCCAGCAATGAGAGGGGTCTCGAGCTGTTGTGGGATTGTCGTGGCCTCGAGCGTGTGCAAGGCTTCAGGTTCGAGATTCTCGAGCGGGGCGTCGTGTCGCTCCCGGACGCTGGGTCGTTGCTGCTGCTGAGCTTCGACGAGCCATGGGAGAATTAAGAAGGCCGCTGCAAACAGGATGAGGTTATTCACGACGAGACCATCTCGAGGTGGCCGCCGTCGCGGCATCGTGAGCGGTCAAAATGTGGCTGAGGTCGCGGGAGACGTTCGCCAAAGCGAAGTCTGGGAAAGCGGTTTGACAATTGAGGGAACCGATAGCGAGCGTCGAATGGACGAATCCCTTCTGGGGGAGGAGAGAAGGTATATAAAGAGTATATAGGGAAAGGAGGAAATGCGGAGAGAGAGCGACAACTTGGTGATGGCTGGAGATGGCCTCGAAGGCTCGATGGGAGCACTCGTGGGGGGGGGAGAGACGGGCGCAGCCTGAATCCGTACTAAGAGGCTCGCTTAAGTTCCCGTGTTGAGCGCGGTAGGACCATTTACACACGATTGCGCGTGTGGTACAATGACGGTAAGTGTGCGCAGTATATACGGTATATGGCATAAATGGTGTATATCGTCTGTAACAATACGCGTGTCTGCGCTATTACCTATTTCCGGTACCCTGGGTCGTCGTGGTCGCGAAGGGATTTGGTGAAGCACAATGATGGATGTTCCGGGAGAGCAATTTCTGGTATCAATGCGTGAGGGATCATCCATCCCCTTCTATCTCCTTCCCTCCCTCAGCATTCCAACCTCCAGCTATTATATTGACGCCTCGGCTTCGTCAGCTTACGGTGATTATTTTCTTTTTATGGATCAAGTCTCAACGCAACACCCGCGCCCGCCCCCCAGCTCCTTTTCACCCTTTCTCCTGCAGCAGCTCCCCCCCTGCGGCTAGCATCTTGCATGGTGAACATGAATAAGGGACTTGCAACGCCCACCGGCTACTTCGAATAGCATCGGGATAGAGAGTGCATATTATTATTGCGCGCAATTTTTTTTTTTATTTCTTTTTTGTTTTTTTCATCTTATTTTTTTCTTTGTTTCCTTTGTCTTGAGAATTGTGTGCGGCAAGGTGAGGCGAAGTCCTTTCTGTGCCGTGGGTCAGCATACTTTCGGGTTCACCAGCCCCGGGTTTACATTCACAACCCCCCCCCCCCTC